GAAGAAGAGTATGAGTATGCCTTCGACGATGAGCCTACTCCGTCTCCACAGGCCTATGGGGGGACCCCCAACCCCCAAACACCTGGCTATCCAGATCCTTCCTCCCCCCAGGTCAACCCACAGTATAACCCACAGACTCCAGGGACGCCAGCCATGTGAGTGCCCTGGGCTAGCCCTGATCACGGCTGCACACACCCTCCCACTGCCTCACCCCCTGTGCCTTCCCTGATGAACAAAGTCCCTTCTTTCCTGTGTCTTCAGGTACAACACAGACCAGTTCTCCCCCTATGCCGCCCCCTCCCCTCAAGGCTCCTACCAGCCCAGCCCCAGTCCCCAGAGCTACCACCAGGTGGCACCAAGCCCAGCAGGCTACCAAAACACCCATTCGCCAGCCAGCTACCACCCCACACCCTCGCCCATGGCCTATCAGGTACTGGTCACCTTGGGTGCCCTGCAGAGCAGTGGGCTAGAATGGACTGTGGCCTACGGCCAGGCCAAGTGACTGTTCCAGTGACACTATCCTCTGTTCCCCTGTAGGCAAGCCCTAGCCCTAGCCCAGTTGGCTATAGTCCGATGACACCTGGAGCTCCCTCCCCTGGTGGCTACAACCCGCACACACCTGGCTCAGGCATTGAGCAGAACTCTAGCGACTGGGTAACCACTGACATCCAGGTGAAGGTGCGGGACACCTACCTGGACACACAGGTGGTGGGTCAGACAGGAGTCATCCGTAGTGTCACGGTGAGTGGGAAACAGGCATGTTATGGTGATTGGTCAGCAGGCATCCTCTCCCTGGGTGCCCCCAATTTTCATGTGTGGGTTTTTTTGTTTTTATTCTTTAACTAACCACATTGACAAAGATCCATCCATAGGTGGACAGGCACGGGAGGGTTCGGGGTTTCTGCCCATCATACTCAACTCTGCCTGCCGCATTCACAACTAAAGTCTGTGACCTGAAACAGAGAAGGTGGTTGATTTCTGTCATAGTCCTTTGAGATCAGCTCAGTAACATGTCCCCAGCACCTTGTCAGGACCAGGCTTGGGCTTAATGTCAGGCATCCACACCCCTGGGCTCCTCCAGGCCTCCTGGCCTCTCCCTTCTTCACACTCAGCCAAGTTCAGGACCTTTCCACACACACCTTCCTGTCTTCCTTCCGTGCGTTGTCTGGCCAGTGCCTGCTCGTGCTCAGGGAGTGTCTGCGCCAGCTCGGGCCTGGGGCTCAGTGTGGTTCTGTGTCAGTGTGGTTCTGCAGGTGCTGCAGGAGAGCTTGGCGCTTACCCTGGTGGGTTCTCTGATTGTGAATGTTGATTGAGTCAAACAACATCAGAGACTAAGACACTCACAGGCCTGCCCTCACAGGCCTCACGTTCCAGGGGTTGGGGGCAGGGGGCAGATATGTCCTCAGACAGGGACAGTCCAGAGTGGGCACAGCTGGGATGAGGCAAGCCCAGAGCTCAGAGGAGCTGGTAGGTGACGGAGAGGAGGCACCTTACCCAGCTTTAGGGGGGAATCAGGAAGGACTTTGTGGAAAGGGAGACTTCCAAGCCCACGACCTGAGGGACGAATAGGAATTAGCCAAGGAGAGGACAGGGAGCTGCACGTTTAGTGGAGCCAAAGTATGTCCATTTTGGCTGGAATATAAATAGCCAAGGGGAAGGTGAGCGGTGAAGCCAGGGGAGTGGCTGGGCCAGGTCCTGTGCCAGCCTAGAGAACTCTGGACCATCCAGCGGGCACTGGGGAACCACGGAGGCATCTAGGCAGCAGGGGAGTGATGGGCTCGGGTCTGTGGTTTGGAACTGATTCTCCATGTTGCAGTGTCAGGGAGGGAGTGGAGGTGGTGAGACTGGGGTCTTGGAGCCCTGAGGAGTTGGGGGCATCAGGTTGCTCTATGGCAGTGCCATGGGGAAGGAAGGAGGAACCGAGGTGGGAGAGGAGACCCTCCGGAGGCTGAACGGACAGACCTCAGAGCTGGACCACTGTTGGTGACAAGGATGAGGTCCAGAGCTTGACTGGGCTGTGGGGCCATCTGACACCAGGGCCCAGGATGGGGGGCAGGTAGAAAGAAGCCAAGGCCATTTGAGGACATGAAGAGTCAGGTGCCTGAGAAGTAGTCCCCGTCTGGCCCAAGTTCGCTTCATCCTGGGGCTTCCCTTGCTGACTTGGTCCCCCCCACCTTCCCTGCCACCATGCATCATTGGCTCCAGCCTTGGAACCAGGCACAGCTGTGGCCCTCCTTGCTCGCTTATCACATGGGGATTGAGTTTTCAGAATGAGCCTGTAGCCTGTGTCCCTTGGAGAGTGGGAACAGGACAGGTTGACCAGGCTGTGCCTACCCTGCAGGGAGGCATGTGCTCTGTGTACCTGAAGGACAGTGAGAAGGTTGTCAGCATTTCCAGTGAGCACCTGGAACCCATCACCCCCACCAAGAACAACAAGGTAGGTTAGGGGACGGGGCCAAGGGGTGTCAGGCTGCTGACATGGGGCGCTGATTCTATGTCCCCCACTTCAGGTAAAGGTGATCCTGGGTGAGGATCGGGAGGCCACCGGAGTCCTGCTGAGCATCGATGGTGAGGATGGCATCGTCCGCATGGACCTTGACGAGCAGCTCAAGATCCTCAACCTCCGCTTCCTGGGGAAGCTCCTGGAGGCCTAAGTCAGGAGGAGAGGTAGAATTCAGAAGATGACCCGGCAGACGAAGAGGACCAGGACCCTCCTTCCTTCCCTGGCCCTTGAACCTGAAACAGAATCCTGGGCTTGAGTAGGGCTCTGCTGATCATTTTGGAGTTTCTTTATCTTCTTTTCTGGGTTTCCACCCTCTTCCTCCCTGATGCTCATAGGAATCAGAGTAGAATCTGGGGAAGGGTCCCCCACTTCTAACACCCCGCTGCCCCCAGCTTGCTTTTGTGTTTATGGTCTTTCAATAAAAAGAAGACGTTTGGTCAGAGCTGTGTGTGTGTGTGTGTGTGTGTGTGTGTGTGTGTGGTAGAGAGAGTCTTGTTTGTAGTGGGGTTATTTACAAAGCCCACTTACTTCCTTCTGTGCTTTGGGGTAAAGAACTGGAAACTATCAAAGTTCTCCCATCTAAAAAATGAGTTTGTACCTCAGAAGGCTCATGAGAGGGGTGGATGAGAAGACATTGGAAAGAGGTCATTGGAACAGAGCTTGCTATGTGACTAACAAAATTACTTCTTACTCAGGCATGAATTTCTACTAATTGAAAATCACAGTCAACCCCCACCTTACAGGGGTTGGGGCTGTAGCCCAGTGGTAGAGCGCTTGCCTGGCATATAGGAGGCACTGGGTTCGATCCTTATCACCACATAAAAATAAACAAGTAAAATAAAGGCATGCTATTCATCTATAACTACAAAAAAACAAGCCCTACAACCTAAATGTCGCCTAGCAGCACACTTGATGGTCCTTTATCTTGAGTTCCAAGAGCAGTGACACCAGAATTACTGAAGCTTGTGATAACATGGTGACAGGAGTGGGAGCAATGTTAAGAATGGGGCTTTGGGGGCTGGGGTTTAGCTCAGTGGTGGAGTGCTTGCCTCTCACATGTGAGGTACTGGGTTCAATCCTCAGCACCGTAAAAGGTATTGTGTCTATCTACAACTTAAAAAGAATGGGGCTTTGTATCTTGAACTTCCTGTTCCTCATTTGATATTACATCGTTAATATCTTCTTGCGGGGAGGGGTTTACTGGGAATGGAACCCAGAAGTGCTTAACCACTGAGCCATATTCCCAGCCCTTTTTATTTTTTGAGACAGAGTCTCACTAAGGAGCACAGAGCCTTGGCAAATTGCTGAGGCTGACCTCAAACTTGTGATCTTCCCGTCTCAGCCTCCCAAGCCACTGGGATTATAGGCATGCATCACCACGCCCGACCAATATTAACACTTATACAAATATGACAGTATTATAAAATACTTCAGATATTTAAAAAGATACCTCTGGGCAGGGTGGCATACGCCTGTAATCCCAGTGGTTTGGAAAGCTGAGGCAGGAGGATCTCCATTTCAAAGCCAGTCTTAGCAACTTAGGCTGCAATTCTGTCTCAGAATTTTTAAAAAAGCTGGGGATGTGGCTCAGTGGTCAAGCGCCCTTGGGTTCAACTCCTGGTACCTAAAATAAGTAAATAACCACGAAGACCCATGTCCCACTTCCCAGCTTAGGAAACAATAGGTACCAGAGAGAGAACCAATTTTGACAGCAGCCCCAATCCATCCCCTTCAGCAGTAACCCCACCCTGGATTCCGCTTCTTTACCTTGCCGGGCTTTTGCTACATTAGTATTTTTGGTTTTTATATGTAAGTTATCAGAGCCCACACACACTGAAAATGATTTGGCAAACATTCACGGCTTCAAATTCGTTGATTTCTCGCTCACTATTAAGGGCCCTCTCCAGCCACGCATGGCGCTGTGCTGCCTCTCCTGTCCCTTTATAAGAATTCATGGTAGGAGGGGCAAGAAGAGCTCTGGGTAAAAGAAGGCAGATTCCATCTCAGGGCTGGCTTTTCAGATGTCCTCCAAGTCTGTTTCCACTTCTGAAAATTGAGAGGTAAAGATAAAGACCCCCTTAGGGGAGACAGCTATGGTTGGGTTCTTTTTTTTTTTTTTTTTTCCTTTAACCTTTATACTTATTTTTGTGTGATGCTGAGTGAGGATCGAACCCAGTGCCTCATGCATGCTAGGCAAACGCTCTACCACTGACCTACAGCCCCAGCCCTAGCCTTAGTTTTACCTCCAAGCAATAGGTCTTATCCTCGTCCCTGCCTCGTCCAGTTGCAGAACTGGTGTTCCCTAAGGATTGAGGGGGACGTGGTGCCAGCTGACAGTACTCCAATCGGTGTGCCTGGGAGACAGCTAATAAAGAAATCTAAGGCGGTAGCACCTGCGGCAATCCGCCTGGAGCCTCTTGTCTCTCTCAGGCTCCCGTCAACCCACCCCTTCTCTGCGTCCTCATTGGCGGCAGCCTGCGCCCGGGGCGGGAGAAGAGGGAGCCAGTGGGCGGGGTCTCGTGGCGTCAGCGCAAGATGGCGGCCTCGGCGGCGCTGTTCTCGCGCTTGCGGAGCGGACTCGGGCTCGGCGCGCGGGGGCTGTGCACCAGGCTGGCGACGCCGCCCCCCCGAGCCCCAGACCAGGTGAGCTGAGTGGGTTTGGGCCCTGGGTGCCTGGGCTCCTCCATGAAATTTCGGACGTATAGCTGCCGGGCAGGGGTTCTGGGATGCTGCACCTCAGGGTGCTGAATGGAAATCCGCCTGCGTTTGAGGGGTGCTTCCCTGCCTGCCAGGGACACATTTGCTTCCTGGGATGGATGTTGGGGCCCCAAGGGCATCCTCTGGATCACACCTCCCACCCACGTGGGCGGCCGAAGAGGTCACCTCTTTCCCTGTGTCAGTGAACACTCAGGTGATAACACGACGGGGAGGGACCCGGGACGCTGGGGTTCCAGCCTGGCCTTGCGGGTATTTTTTTGGAGTTGTTAGTGGTAGTGAAGTAGATGTCCGGGCTTCGGATTCGACCTTCTTCCATGTGGACAGATCCCAACCATTCTGACCTCCAAGTTCATCACTTCCGTTCCCTTTTTTCCCCAAGTCCCATACAAGTTGCTCTTCCCTGCCCCCACTCCTGTCCTTTTTTTTCTAGACCCTGCTACCTTGAGCCTTAGGAATCCGGATGTTTTAACTCTCAGTCTTGTCCCGTGTGCCTCTGTCCCCCAACTTCAGGCATCCCAATTTTGGGCGACCTGATCCCTTAGTCTCCCTGACTGACTTTGCTGGGCTCCAGACCCTCCAGTTCTCTTACCTCCAGGGTCCTGGGTAAACTGGCCTGTCAGTTCTTAAATTCCTGGATTCGTTGCCCTGTACAGTCTAGACACTCTGAAGGGGGTCCTCTCAGTTGCCCTTCTAAGAATACAATGCTGGGGGTTATGTGGGTGTCTGCTTCTTGGCTTCTGATTTTGATTCTACTTGAACTAGAGTAGAGGTCAAAGTATCCTGACCTTGTCTCTCCCCTCTCTTAGCTAACCGCCTTCCTCCACTCCTCTCCCAATCTGCAGGCTGCAGAGATTGGAAGCCATGGGAGCACTAAAGCCCAGGGGCCACAGCAGCAGCCAGGCTCAGAAGGTCCCAGCTATGCCAAAAAAGTTGCACTTTGGCTTGCTGGTTTGCTTGGAGCTGGTGGGACTGTGAGCATCATCTATATTTTCGGTGAGGGACATGCCCCTGCCCCCCAATTTTGTTCTGCTGGCTTCCTGAATTCTACTGTGGAACCTTCCCCTCTTTCCCCGTAGTGGCTTCACTGATCTTCATTCTCTGACCCTTCAATAGGGCTGCCAACTAGGACACCTATTTTGAAAACTGGAGAAGTCTCCTTCTCCTTTCTACTCCTTCTGTCTCTCGAGCTGGTTCCTGTATCAGGCTATGGGGAACCAATTGGAACCCAGTCCCCTCCTCCCTTGAATCTAGGAGGCCATACCTCTAGCCCTCTCTCTCAGACCCAGGAGTCCAAGCCCCTGACATACCTTCTACCCCCAAGAGCCAGGAGATGGGGTCCCCATGTCTTCCATTGATTGTCTCCCTTGCAGGAAACAACCCTGTGGATGAAAACGGTGCCAAGGTGAGGGGGAACAAGGCCTTGCCAGAGTCCTTCCTTTGTGAGGGTGGGTTCCCTTTGGTCTACTCAGCTTGTCTCTGGCCTGGAGTGAGCCTCTCACTCCCAAGGACCTTCTACTCCTCTCAGAGGTCTTGGAGAACCTTTTATAAATATGTTGGGGTCCTTGTTCCTTCCCTAACTTTCCATTTTTCTCTCCACCTCCCAGATTCCTGATGAGTTCGACAATGGTAAGTCAACAAGCACAGATTCTGGGGTCCCCTGGCCCTCTTAACTGTGCCACTTAGGCACAGGAGCCCTCCCCATCTGGTGCTCCCAGCCCCTCCTCCTTCTATTGGGGGGGCACAGACATGGGGGGCAGCAGCTGGATGGCTTGGGGGAGGGGCATTACAAAGCCCCAGCCCCCTTTCCTGGCCCCTCAACCCAGGAGCAGATGGCAGAGGACAGATGGGGGAGGGGAACCTGGGTGGGAGGGCTTGGGGAGACAGGGCAGTCTATCCCCAGACACATGGCTTCCTGTGCCTTAGATCTGAGCATCTGCAGCCCCTAACCCCCTCCTCTTTATGACAGCCTCTTTTTTTTCCCCTAAGCTCCTACCCCACCAGGCTCCTCATTTCCAAAACAATGCCTCCCTCCCTCCCCCTCTCATTAACCAGCTTTTGATGGGGAGCTTCTGACAAATTGGATAGTAGTTGTCAATTCTGTCACACCTGGCCCTTCCCAAGAGAAAAGTAAAATTGGTGGATCCAGAAAGCCACCTGTTTTGTGCTGGGGAGTTTGTTATACTGATTGTTGCAGCGAGGCATCAGGGTGAGTATGTTTTAACTGGGCAGATATAAAATTATAGTGGCTTCAACAAATCAATATGCTGATTTAAATTGGGCAGGTAGAGACATAGGTTTAAAATGTGCATATTAACTGGTTTCAATATTGTGGTTTTTCAGAGATTGGCCCATAGGTAGAATTGGATTGAAAATAGTGCCCTCCAGCAGGCACTCCTGGAAGCTCTCGGTTTCAGCTGAAGCCAATGTACTCATTTAAACCAGGGTTTTTCACCTTCAGCCCTACTGACAGTTTGAACTAGATCATTCTTTACTGTGGGGGGACTGTCTTGTGCATTATAGAATGTTTAGCAGCACCCAGGATAATTATATTTACGCACTAGGTACCAGAATCATGGCAATCAAAACTGTCCCCACGGGCTGGGGTGCGGCTTGGAAGAGCCCATGCTTAGCATGGGTGAGATCCTGGGTTCAGTCCTAGCATCCAAAAAAAAAAAAAGGTCTCTAGACATTGCCAAATTTATGGTGGTAGTGTGTGTCAGAGGGACAAGATAAATAAAAGTGTTCTTAGTTGAGAATCTGTGGTTTTAAGCATACAGATGTGTCTGTGTTCACTGTAGTATAACTAGACTAGTGCACTGGCTTTGAGCAGACATCTCAAGCTCAGGATGGACTAAACACTGGCATAAGATCAAAAGGTGTACATGTCTGAATTTTTTAAAAATATTTTTGTTTAGTTGTAAATGGACACAATACCTTTATTTTGTTTATTTATTTTCTTGTGGTGCTGAGGATCGAACCCAGTGCCTCACATGTGCGAGGCAAGCACTCTGCCATTGAGCCACAGCCCTAGCCCCTTTATGTCTGAATTTTAGGTGGGCTATTTTTATACCTGGCATGGAGTGTGGAAGTAAGTATTCACATTAAAACTGGGTAAGTGAGGGGGCTGGGGCTGGGGCTCAGCGGTAGAGCCCTCACCTAGCATGGCTGAGGCACTGGGTTCGGTCTTCAGCACCACATAAAGATTAATAAAGGTATTGTGTCCATCTACAATCAAACATTTTTTTTTTAAAACTGGGTAAATGAATATCTTTGTTCCCACCTGGTAATATGTCGTTGCCATCTACCTTTTGGCCTCGAAATGAGCTGATTGAAACCAGGCGGGAGTAAACCTGCTGTGTGTCTGGTGGATCACAAACCTCTGGTGTTTGGGAGGTCGAGCAGCAGCTTATCTTGGAATCCTTTGTGCCCAATGTTCTCCTAGATCCAATTCTGGTCCAGCAGTTACGTCGGACATACAAATATTTCAAAGATTATAGACAGGTAAGCAGGGACCTGGGCCTGGTCCCTACCTTCCGTCCTCAGCCCCCAGCTTCTGTGTCAAGCACCCTTGTCCCTTTTCTGTCCCACAGATGATCATTGAGCCCACCAGCCCCTGCCTTCTTCCAGACCCTCTGCGGGAGCCATACTATCAGCCGCCCTACACACTTGTCTTGGAGCTCACTGGTGTCCTCTTGCACCCTGAGTGGTCGGTGTGTCTCGGGGAAGGCAGCGGGTTGGGGATAGACCTGTGCAGTGGGCTGGGGGTGCTGTGTGATCTTGGGGAGAGCCTGTCTCTTCCCACTGCCTCGCTTTCAGTGCCCACTGTGGGGCTGTCGGGGGTGTGCCAGGAGTCGGCTCTTGCTCCAGACTCTAGTTCTTAGCCCTTGTGTTCTCAAACCCCCAAGAACAGAGGGAACCCTGGCTCTGGGAACCCCCTGGCTGGGTCTAGGCCCCGGGCCCCTCGTGGTCCTGGTGGCTCACTGCCCTCATCCCCCAGCTGGCTACTGGCTGGAGGTTCAAGAAGCGGCCAGGCATCGAGACCTTGTTCCAGCAGCTTGCACCTCTGTACGAAATTGTCATCTTCACGTCAGAGACTGGCATGGTGAGGCTCCGGGGCAGAGCAGGCATGGGTGGTGTGGGGGAGCAAGAGATCTGGTGGGCCAGACCCAGCTGACCTCTCCTTGATCCCCCCAGACTGCGTTTCCACTCATCGACAGTGTGGACCCCCATGGCTTCATCTCCTACCGCCTCTTCCGGGATGCCACAAGATACATGGATGGACACCATGTCAAGGTGCCGTGTGGGGGTTATGGTGGGGGGCCTCTGGGGTGGGCTCGGGTGCCAGCACTGCCAGAAAGAGGGCTGAGCTCCAGTCCCAGCCTCCACCCTGCTTGTGATTCTGTACAGATCTCATTCTCCTGGCAGGACCTGAGCTTGGCGGAGCATTTTGGCCCTTCCTCCAGAATCTGGGGGAGTGGGGAGAAGTGGGGTCTCCCTAAAGAAGACAGTGTGGGTGAGGGGTAGTGATGTGGAGTTTCGTCTCTCTGTGTCTGTAACTGGGTGCTTCAGGACAGTGGATAATTGCAGTTGCTCCCATGAGCCTGGGTGTGGAAACACATGCCGGGGTCTGTGCCCGGCTCCAGGATTCCCTGTGCCCAGGCGTCTGTTGGGCTTCTATCTGGGTCTTGGTGGGGCTGGGGGCTTACGTTGGGATTCAGCGGTGCATGGACTGTGACGAAGGTCTGTGTCAGTCTGTGTGACTCCCTGTGTGTTGCTGTGGGTCCATCTGCACCTCTTTTTCCTGGGCAAGAGGTTCTTCGACCTGCAGCATATCACAGTCACCTCACCTGGGCAGTAGTTGGACACGCCAGGGCCCGCCCATCCCAAGAGGGCCTAGGAGTGGCGTGACTCCGCCCAGCCAGAGGCCGAGGGCTCTGCAGGTGGAGTTTGGGAGAGGGGCCATGGTGATGCCTTGTGTGTGCATGTTCCTTGTGGGGAGGGGAGGGGCACAGAGAGTGACCTGACCTGTTGCCCACTTCCAGGACATTTCGTGTCTGAATCGGGACCCGGCCCGAGTGGTGGTCGTGGACTGCAAGAAGGAAGCCTTCCGCCTGCAGCCCTACAATGGTGTCGCCCTGCGGCCCTGGGACGGCAACTCGGACGACCGGGTCTTGTTGGACCTGTCTGCCTTCCTTAAGAGTGAGGCTGGTCCCACCCTCCTAGCCCCTGACCCCAGGGACCTGGTCCTCAAGGTGATGGCAGATGCTTGATTCTGCCTTGTCTTTCTTGTCCACTGGCAGTCAAGTGAGGCCCTGGGCTCAGTCTCCAGTGCTGGGAAAACAAACTGCAGTCGAGGGGCAGAGGCCACGAACATCTTGGAGTTCCAGAGACTCCTATGTCCGGGTGCTCCCCTGGGAATGTCGGGGGAGCCCTTGTGGAGCATTGAGAGCGTTCCAGGGAGTGTCGGTCTAGGATCTGACCTTGGCCCTGTGGGCCCTGCCTCCCTTGGGCCTCAAGGCTGGCTGACCGCGTCCTGTTGTGCCCGCAGCCATCGCTCTGAACCAAGTGGAGGATGTGCGGACTGTGCTGGAGCACTACGCCCTGGAGGATGACCCGCTGGAGGCTTTCAAGCAGCGGCAGAGCCAGCTCGAGCAGGTTGGACTCGCTCCACGCCCAGGGTCCTTTGAGGCTCCCGAAGGAGGTTCCTGAAGCAGCCCCTCTCTATACTGTCCCCTGGCTGACTGTGACCTTGGCCAGTACCTTCTCCTTTGCCGCAGTATCTGTGACCTGGGGGCGGTGACACAGCCTTCCGGGCAGGGATGTGGTGAGGAGGGTGGCCTGGTTCTGTGGGCTGCTCAGGAAATGGAAAGCACTTGAGATGGGTCTGGAGGAGGGAGTGTCCTTGACACTTGTGAGCAGTCCTGGGGACTCCCTGTGGAGGTAGACCTAAGGTTTAGATCATGTCTGGAGGGAGGTGTCCATGGCACTTGGCCAGGAGTCTGGGGAGGGAACTTTGCTGGTCTTGGAGGGACACTGGTGTGTGGCTCGAGTCAGAAAAGATGCTCATGTCCAGGCTGCGGTTGGCCAGATTCTGGGTTGGTTTTCTGGGGCTAGCTAGAGCCCTAAGTGCCCAGAGAAGGCCTGGAGAGCTGGGTCAGGGCTTCCCCCATGCCAGCCACTGGGTGCTCGGAGTAGGACAGGGCAGTCTGTTGAAGAAGGCTATGGTCTTTGGATCTGGGGTCTCCCCCAGTATCCAGGATGGGGTCTAGGGTCTGAGATAGGTTCCCAGGCTTTGGGGAGGGGCTTCTGAGAATTTTCTGCCTGAGAAACTCCTGAAGTTCATGGCTGAAAATCCTGAGGGCCTGGGATCTGAGTGTGGTGTCCCCCAGGCATCTTGAGGTTGAGCTCCTGTGACGCAGCTGGCCCTTACCAGTGTGTGAACAGGGGCTGGAGCTGGCGTGCAGTGCTCTGTTGGTTTGGGCAGGGGAGTGGGCCCTGGGCCAATGTCTAAAGGAAGGCTGGCCCCTGGGCTGAGGCTGGGGACTGGCAGTGTGGGAGGAAACCCACCTACCCCAGGCTGACCTCCTCCTCCTCTTGTCCCCTGACCGCCCAGGAGGAACAGCAGCGCCTGGCTGAGCTCGCCAAGTCCAACAAGCAGAAACTCTTCTTCGGCTCTCTCACCAGCCGCTTGTGGCCTCGCTCCAAACAGCCCTGATGCTCTGGGCCTCCTCAAACTCACTGCCTGGGTTCAGGGCCTCAGGCCCCAGTGCTCCCAGACCAAGGCTTGGGCAGCCACATGTCCAATAAAGTGCATCCCAGATGGCACAACTCCTGTGTCCGGAGAGTCTCCAGATGGGGCATCAGGGTGAGGTCCGGGACTTGGGTCATCATGCCACAGTGGCCAGCTGACTGCCGAACAGAGCAGAGGCTCTGTAGGATCAGGGCCAGTTTGGGCCTGGCTATCTGGAAACCCGGGTCTCTGCTCGGCTGTCTTCCCATGTGCTGTTTGATCTGCAAAAAGTGCACCTCTCTGGCTCCAGATTCCTCGCATGTGGAGAAAAGCAGAGGATGGGGGTTAAACACAGGTAGCTCCCGTGGAAATAAAGCCAAGTTGAGCCCTGGTGGTCTAGAGATGGCCCCACCTCACCTGGACATCTGCTCACCTCCCGCCAGCCGTGGCCCCACGGGAAGGTGGCCCTGGAGTTGTTTGAGCTTCCGGTTTTTCAACAGAAGCCCAAAGTTGGGAGGGATGGATGAGTGGATGGATTGATTTTTGAGATGCGCTCTCACTGTGTTGCCGAGGCTGGTCTTGAACTCCAGGGCTTGAGTGGTCTTCCTGCCTCAGCTTCCAGAGTATCTGGGGCATAAGACTGCTACAGTGCCCGCCCAGAAATGAGGATTTTTATATTAAATCTCACTGTTGATTGGTTTTCTGCAGTGCTGGGTGGAGCCCAGGGCCTCACACACCAGGCTGAAACTGCCCTGAGATTTAACAGCCACATGTGTCTCCTGGCCCCCATATTGGCAAGCACGGCTGTGTGGGTTCCTGACTGTTCAAGTGCAGATGCAAGCTCTGCCACTTCCTGGCAGGCTGTGACCCTGGGCAATTTATTTTACCTCTCAGTGCCTCAGTTTCTACAACTACCTTAGTTTCTGCCTCAGCTTAAAAGCAGAACCCCTTCCACATAGGCCCCAGGGTAGTAGCTGTAAGAATCTAAGGGAGCTACCCCTCCACCTTGGTTTTGTCATCTCTAAAACAGGGGTGTTGGTACCTTAGAGAGGCTGTCAGGAATAGTGACATGAACTGTCCAGTGACATGAACTTAACAGGCCACATGGTTGTCACAGATGGAAATGTGCTGGACCTTTTTGGCTTGAAGTGCCTTCCTCCCAGCCTCTCCGCTCCGGCTGGCACCTACTGCTAGTACCAACTATTTTTAAAAGATCTTCCTTGGTGTTTCTTATAAGAACTAAATGCACTTGAAATAATGGTCGGCCAGATGCTGAGGGGCACACCTGTGATCTTAGGCTGAGGCAGGAGGATCACAAATTTGAGGCCAGCCCCAGCAATTTAGCAAGAACCTGTCTCAAAAAGGCCTGGGATGTAGTGTGGTAGAGCACCCCTGGGTTCAATTAAAAAAAAAAAAAAGTTCGTGGACATCTGCAAAGATAAAGTTTGCAGGAACACGCCCAGCCCTGGGTACTGTTTCTAATGCAGGAAATCGACCCACATCCTCAGGGCTCCCTAGTTTGGGGAAGTTCCTGGGTAGAGGGAGGGCCTGCATTTGCTTTTCATGTGGCTTTAAGAAATGAGACTAAGGATAAGGGGACAAAGCTGCTTCTGTGAGAGTCCTGGGGGAGCCCCTGGTGGGCTGGGAGCTTGCCCCCAGGTGTGCCTACATCCCACGGAACCTGAGGGCCTTTCCAAATCCCCTGTACCAGTACGTGGAAGGAAGAGGTTTATCTGCCAGCCCCTCCCCTCTGGGGTCAAGAGTGTCTCTCCGGGCAGCAGCCTTTGGCATTCTGGGTGGCACATGCTCTTGCAACCATTGGATCTCCCAAACTTGCTGCTCACTTTGGTGCCAGCTCAGCCCCTTGTGCAGTCAGGTGACACTCGCTGAAAGCTGGTGGGGAGGAGAGGATTTGACACTGCTTGTATGACATGGCAGGACATGATCCTCAAGGGCCCTGGGCACCAGGGCTGCGTTGTGTCCTGGGGTCTTCTGATGGACAGCACTGCGCCGCATTAAAGCACCCCAACAGGACCTGCATCTCCGGGTCACGCTTCCTGGCTCGGTGACCCTGGCAAGGCCTTAGCCTCTATTTCCTCACCCCAAGGGGTTGATACTGGCTCCTCCCCGCTGGCCCCCTGCTGTGCGGCCCTGCTGGCCCTGGCTGCAGAAGTGGGCCACGGGGGTGGGGAGCTCCGCCCTCATGGAGCTGGGGTCCCACAGAGGAGATGACAACGCCTCCGGTAGTTCTTGGGGATGATCAATGGATAAAGAAAAATAAACCCGGTGACTCAGGAGGCTGAGGGGGGAGATCCAAAGCTTGGGCAGTTTAGCAAGACCCTGATGGAAAAGGGCTGGGGTATAGCTCAGTGAGACAGTGCCCCTGGGTTCAGTCCTCAGAAATGAAAAAGAAAATGTGGGAGAAGCAGGGGCTTGGGGACTTGGAGGGCTACTTTATACTTGAGGGAATGGTCCAGAAAGGCGTCTTGGGAAGGTACAGTTGAGCAGAGCCCAGAAGGAAATGAGAAGGAAAGCCCTGGGGACATCGCGTAGGCCTCGGCCTTTGCACTTCCTTTGCCACCCTCACCTCCTCTAGGTCTCAGCTCACATGTCACCTCAGCAGGCCTTCTGTGGTCTCTAAGGTTAGCACATAAGAAAAAGTCCCAGCCAGCACAGTGGAGCACACCTGTAATCCCAGCAGCTCAAGAGGCTGAGGCAGGAGGATCTCAAGTTCAAAGCCAGCCTCAGCAGTAGGGAGTCACTAAGCAACTCAGTGAGACTGTCTCTAGATAAAATATAAAATAGGGCTGGGGATGTGGTTGAATACCCCTGAGTTCAGTCCTTGATACCAAAAAGTAAGTCCCAAACAGCCAAAAAGATAGTCAGAAATTCTGTAAAGTACATTTCCCACACATGTGACATGAGAGAGTCCCTGAGAAATGCCATAATGCTTAGCACAAACCTGCAATAAAGGCTGCTCTTAAAAATTTATTCATTTTTTATGGTGCCAGGAATCCAACCTAGAGCCTTGTATATGAGAGGCAAGTGTTGTTTTAAGTATTTTAGTTATAGGTGGACACAATATCTTTATGTGGGGCTGAGGATCAAACCCAGTGCCTCATGCATGCAAGGCGAGCACTCTTCCTCTGAGCCACAATCTCAGCCCCAGACAATTTTTAATTTTTTAAAATGTTTAGGTATATCAAACCTGGAATCTGTTACTTTCTCAAGTTACCCAGGGCAGAAGTTTGCCATCTCCCACAGCTAATTTTTTTGTTGTTGTTGTTGACAGACCTTTATTTTATTTATTCATATGCGGTGCTGAGAATCAAACCCAGGCCTCACACATGCCAGGCAAGTGCGCTACCGCTGAGCCCCAGCCCTCCCACAGCTAATTCTAATCTTGCCCAAATTCTGTATGAACATCTCCAAGATGGGAGGTTCACTCTCCCACCTGACCCTAATCTGCTGCCCAATAATCTGGGTCCAAAAGGTCTGGCTTTTCCCTTTGGGGGGCCACAGAATCTTGAGTAGTGAGGATGTGGGACAAGGACTTCAAATGTCAGTCTTAAAGATGCACGAGCCACTGAAGAGTATGCAGCAGGAGGACGGGGCCGGGTTTGTGTTCAGAAAGACCCCATAGGCCAGAGTGGTCAGGGCCGGTGGGGAGGCCCGGGCAGAGGGTGGGGCCAGCACAGAGGAATCCCTGGGGGCTGTGGGAGCTCAGAGGCCTGGGGCCCTTGGGGAGGCATCCCGAGGGCATCCCTCCATCCATAGGGAGGGAGGGAGGGAAAGAGCAGCAGAATGAGAAGGAGCCTGGACATTGCGTGAGCTGACCCACAGCCTTCTCTGGCTCAGACCCTCCCCTACTCCGGTGTCCTCAGGATTACGAGAAGGTTCTAGATTGGCATTCTTCTATTAATTACAAAATGAGCACTCTGTGTGCCTGACTGCTGACCTCTAGCAGACAATATGCATTTTTTTTTCCGAGAGAGAGAGAGAGAGAGAGAGAGAGAGAGAGAGAGAGAGAGAATTTTAATATTTATTTTTTAATAAATATTAAAACACAACATCTTTGTTTGTATGTGGTGCTGAGGATCGAACCTGGGCCGCACGCATGCCAGGCAAGCGCGCTACCGCTTGAGCCACATCCCCAGCCCCAGACAATATGCATTTAAATTCAACCTGTATTCTCCCCCTAAAACTATTAGCCTCCGAATTAATGTCCCCTCCTCCGGGAAAAGGAACGAGTTTCTTCCATCCAACGGGCTTTGCCCTGGGCACAGAGTGATTATGTCCAGGGCTGGAACATCTGCCCCTAACTGGCGTTTTTTGCTGTGGCCCTGGAATACTAAGGGGTTTTGGAGGGTCTGGGGGCGCCCTCACCGCATTCATCCTGGGGTGGGAGAGCGACTCCTGGCTCCTGGTGCGTGAAGACGAATTTCCTGCCCATTTGCTCCTCACACCTTCCGGAGGCCAAACGGGCAGCCCAGCTGCGGCAGAGGGGGAGGGGCGCGGCCGCCCGGCAGATGGCGGCATTTACATACAGCTGAGAGTTCCCTTTGAGGCTGGGGCTCCTCGCCCTGGCGTCTGGTGATGAGGGGTTTGGGAGGGTGGCTTTGTTATCTGGAGGCGGAACACACACGAGTACCCGCGCATACACACACATACACACAGGTCCACAAAGAACCCCGGATCTTCGTCGTATTCATTCACAGCTACACCCGGGGGACCTCCCAAACCTAGTCACCCGCCCACACACACCCCTTAGTCATTCACAACCTCATTCATGTCCTCTAGCCCCACACGCACACAGCCAGCTGGAGACACCTGCACAGGACCACAAAGTCCCAGGCTCCTACGACTACACACAATGGTCCAGGATCTCGCATAAAACACATACACATGCGCGGAGAAGCTTGCGCGCAGCCCACGATCTCAAAACGTCACACAATCCTGAAGTCGTTTACACTTCTTTTCGCCCACTCAGGTGCGTACTCACACACAAAGAATCTTCGAATTATTTACAGTGTGCAGTTGTGTTACCCATCACAATTGCAGGCACACACTGAACTGCACAATCCCATTTAGCCACCGC